CATGTGTATGTGTGTGGGTGGATGCATGTGTATGTGTGTGGGTGGATGCATGTATATGTGTGTGGGTGGATGCGTGTGTACATATGGAGTGGATGCGTGTGTATGTGTGTGGGTGGATGCATGTGTATGTGTGTGGTGGATGCATGTGTACATATGGGGTGGTATATGTGCCATGTATAATAGTTTCTGGGAGTCTGAGGGCAGGAGGCCTCACGGCAGCCAAGCAGGATAGGACCAGAGCCGAGCCTGTGGTGTTCAGTGAGGTGCTGGGGGCTGCCTGGGTCATGGGGATGTTTGTTTGATTTCCCCCGACTTCCAAACTGGTGGAAATTACACACCAAGCATCGATTTAATTAAGTTTTCCGGTGTGTGGCATAATTAGTAAGACACACCACGGAACAGGGTGGGCGGGCCCAGCCTCCCCTGCCTGTCAGGAGGCTTGGCCTTTGGGCTTACAAAACATGGTAGCTGAGGGCCAGGGACACTCTACCTCAGCCTCCCTGACAGGTGTGTGGCCTTCCTGTCCATCCGAGGAGAGCTGCAGGCAGCCTGGTCTCACAGATGGCCCTAAGACTGAAAACTGAGCCCCGTGAATCCAGGGAGCCCCCTCCCTTCCTGAGCATCCGAAGGGTCTGGCTTTTTGACACAACCCCATGGAGGCTTCCGCCTGTTTGACATGGGGACTGATCAGCCACTGGTCACCATCAAGTCACAGGTGGTGGCTGTGTGCACACACACACAGACACGAGGTCTGAGAGGACCCAGGCCATCACCCTCCACGTGCTGTCCAGATGGCCTGAGGCCTAGCCCTCTCCTCAGCAGTGAGTGGGTCCCCATCCTACTGGGAAAGGCTGGTCACCATGGGCCCATGAGGAGTGTCTGCCCACCTGGGGTCAACTCCAGCTCAAGCCAGAACAGAGATGGGAAGCACTGTTGGAAACCAGCCAGCCCGTGGGAAAAATTGAGTCAGCTCCTGAGCTGAAAAGCTCCTGCCTCAGCCTCTACCCCCTGGACCTCTGGACCTCTCTGTCCTCACTGTCCTCACTGTGTCCTCTGCAGTTGTTAGGGATGAATCTTTTTTTTTTTTTTTGAGACAGGGTCTCACTATATAGCTCTGGCTGTCCAGGCACTCGCTCTGTAGACCAGGCTGGCCTTGAACTCAGGGATCTGCCTGCTTCTGCTTCCCAAGTGCTGGGATTAAAGGTGTGCGCCACCACCGCCACCAGTTGTCAGGGCCTAACCTAAGGGACCTGTTCCTCCTCCTCTCCCTGGACTCCAGCCCCTCGAGACTTAGGCTTTCCTGCCCACCCCTTTGCTCCCGGCCTACCATCAGAGACTGCCAACCTGGAGCTCTAGCCAGTGCCCAGTGCCAGTGCCACCCTGCTCCCACCTCCCACTCTCCTTGCACAGAGACCTTCTCCATCGAAACAAACCCTGCCTAGCTGACGCAGAACCCCAAGAGAAGACCGGGCATCTACTCTCTGTGTGTCCCCATAAGAGTAAACATGTATTAAGCTCTTACTGTGTGCACGGCTAGCCTGGATGCTTTAGAGGTATTATAGAGGCCACAGGCCATTTCCTGTCTCCCATTCTCCATGTAAGAGAGCCGAGGCTCAGTGGGATCTGATGCTTTGGCAAAGTACAAGAACTGAACGCAAAGTCGGAGTGGGAGCCCGGTGTCCAGAGCACACAAGCCTGGCCCCAGTGAAAACCGTCTTCAAAGCCTCCACCCATCCCTCTGTCCACCCTGCCATCCAGCCTCTCTCTCTCTCTTCCACCCTCCCTCCATCTTTCCACCCATCCCTTTGTCCACCCTTCTGTCCACAGTTCCACCCATCAAGCTGCCATTCTCCATCCCTCCTCCCCACCACTCCTCTCTCCTCCCCTCCTCCCCACCCCTCCTCTGTCTTCTCCCCCGTTCTCTCCTCTCTCCTTCATTTATCCTTCCTTCTTTCCGTAGCCCAGCCAACAGTCTTCACTCCCCCTCCCACCCATTCCCTGCTCCATCCTTCTGCGCACCCCCCCCCCCCCAGTCTGCAAGCAGCCAAGCTTTATTGAGCGGTTCTCTCAGCCAGGCGGCCTCTCCTGTTTTGGCCTGGGGACCACACTTGTGAGACTTACCCTGACCTAGATCCACCCATGGGGTGCCACGTTATACTGCCCCTTGCCAGGCACTGGTGTGGTTGTTGACAGGTGCCTTGCTGGGGCCCTGAGTTCCCCAGAGCAAGCTCTGCAGGGAGGAAACAGAGCCACCTCAGGGGCACACACATGGGATGTGCCTTGGGAGGCACAACTAATTTTAACAACAGCCTTAGGAAAAAGACAAATCTGTCCCTTTTTTCTCTCTTTGGGGGAAAAAAAAACGTGTGGTGTGTGTGTGTGTGTGTGTGTGTGTGTGTGTGGTAGGTATGATTGAGAGTCTCAGGAACCTGAAAGCCATGCTTCTGCTGGCACTGACACACACATCTGCCTGCAGCTGCAAGGTCAGATGTGCGGTCCCTAGGCAGTGGGCCCACACATGAGTCTTGTAGCCAGGGACCCATGGTCTTTCCAGAAGCCCAGAGCCCCGTGAGCCCTCACCTGTCTGCTGGTGTGCGCCAGTGCTCTGTGAACTTTGACCCTAGGTTCTGCAGTGAGAGAAGAAAGCAAGCATCTTGCCCATACTGGCCCGGGGCACTCAGGGGCCAGCTAACAACCTCAGCTGTGTGGGGTGGGGGCTCCCAGGCTGCTGCAGGAGGCCAGTGATGGGAAATGGACTCGGCTTGCTCTCCAGGGATGGGCTGACCCCAACCCCAGTGGCTGGCGAGGAGACAGATGTGGCCGTCACTCTGCATGGACACATCGCAGAGTCGCAGTCCTGGGGGACGAGGAAGCCCTTGACACTTGTCTCTGTGCCCCCAACCCTTTTCCCTTCCAAGGCAGAATTTGGCCTCCTGAAATTCTGTACACTAATAAAATTGTAACTAATTTACATAGGAGATGGGGAATGAGTGGCAGTGGTTGCCATGGAGACCGTCTCCCAGGCCCTGCTGTCTCCGCCTCTCCTGAGCAGCTCAGACATCAAGAGATCCTCCCTGCACTGTGCAGCTGGGGCCAGGCTTCCTGCCTCGCAGGCACCCTGCTCTCCTCGGAACGGAGCCAGCCCTGGAGGGGACAGCATCAGGTCCCCCCTGTCATGCTCCCACTGTGGACCTTGCTGTCCTCGCTCACACCAGGCGGTGGCCCTTTCCCTCCTCCACAGTCACTGACGGCTACTTGTGGGAACAGTTCAGCAGCAGAGCCCAGAGCCACCCCCAAGCTGGTCCTCCTCAGAGAAGCCCCACCCTGGATCCCAGGGCTCTGAGGCTGGAGGAGTGCTCAGGCCTGCGGGCAGCCAGAGAGTCCTTCACCGGGGCGTCTCATTTCAACCCCAAGGCAGCCCCACAAAGAAGGCAACGTCAGTCCCCATTGTACCCGCAGTGGAAAGGTCCTAGCCTTTGTTAAGAGAAGGTGCTGGAGGCAGAGCCAAGTCTCCTGCCCCTGATGCTGAACGGTCTCTAGAAAAACAGAACAAACCATCCCGGCAAGGCAGGAGTGAGTGAGAGAGGGAGAAAGGAGGGTGGGGGATGGGGACTGTGCTCTTGGAGGTTTTTTTTTTTTTTTTTTTTTCATAGTCTCACCATATAGCTTTGGCTGGCCTGGAGCTCACAGAGATCCACCTGCCCTCTGCCTCCGGAGTGCTGGGATTAAAGGTGTGCACCACCATGCCCCGCCCCTTGGGTTTTGAGGGATGAACAAGAGTTCCTCCCCAGAGATCAACTGAGAAAAGACTGATCCAGGCAGAGAGAACGGACACTGAGTCCCAGAGGGAAGGACCTTCCCTGAGGGTCTAAACCTCCAGCCACTGGCACAGATGGAGATCTCTGCCAATTTCTGTTCAGTGGCTGAGGAGGTAGGCACAGAGCTGAGGTCTGAGCAGGCTCACCCAGTATTTGTGGGTTCTGGGGCCTGGTCCCTTGCTCTGAGGAGGGGAATGTGGAATGCAGATTCCTGGGCTCCAAGGTGACTCAGGAGACCACCCTCCCTGGGTGGCTCTGTTTTAACCATGCAGACAGGGCTGCGGAGTCCCCTGTGGTGGTGGCCAGAGTCCAGGGCAGGAGTTGGAGACACGTGGACACATGGGTTTGCTGCAAGGATGGACAGTGAGAAGACCTGGAGGTGCAGGGGACCACATGGCAGCCAGGACCGCAGAGGCCTCCGAATTCCCTCGGAAAAAGAATCCATTCCCCACACCCACTTCAGCTAAGAACACAACCGGTAGCAGAGCAGGGTCAGCAGTCCCTGTGGCCTGTCTGTCTGTCTGTCCCTCTCTATCCTGGTGGACATCCTGAGCTTGGATCCTGTTCCTTCTTCACTGTGTGACCTAAGCACATGATTTTTATTTCTGTTTTTTGTTTGTTTGTTTGTTTTGTTTTCTTTTTTCTTCTTCTTTTCCAAGACACAGTTTCTCTGTGTTCTTTGGCTGTCCTGTAGACCAGGCCTCTGCCTCCTGAGTGCCGGGGTTAAAGGTGCCAATACCGCCCAGCAGTATATTTCTAAGATTCTATTGTCTTATTGTCAGCTGGTTTGTGTGTGTGTGTGTGTGTGTGTGTGTGTGTGTGTGTGTGTGTGTGTGTGTTTGTGCTTCTGTGGGTGTACACGTGTAGTGCATTTACATGGAGACCAGAGCTCGAGGCTGGATGTCCGTCTCACTCAGTCATGTCCTGATGGCCTTTTCCGTGGGTGCTGGGGATTAAATTCATGGTCTCACGCTTAGGCAGCAAGCGTTTTACAGACTAAGCTGTCTCCCCAGCCCCAACCTTCTTTCTTTCTCTCTCTCTTTCTTCCTTTCTCTCTTCCTTCCTTCCTTCCTTCCTTCCTTCCTTCCTTCCTTCCTTCCTTCCTTCCTTCCTTCCTTCCTTCCTTCCTTTTTTTCTTCCTCCTCCTCCTTCTCTTTCTTCTTTTGAGACAAGGTCTCACTGTGTAGCCCTGGCTGTCCTGGAACTCACTCTGTAGCCCAGGCTGGCCCGCCTCTGCCTCTCAAGTGCGAGGATTAAAGGTGTGCACCACCGTGTTCATCTCAAGCCCTGACATTCTTGACCATTCTGAGCTAATGCCCTCTCCAGAGGCAAAAAGAAAACTCCTCCCTCCAAGAACTTATTGATCTATTTTAAGGTTAACGAGGAGAGGGTGGAACACAGAGTGGCCCTCTCTCATACACCCCCTCCCACACCCACACCCACACCCCCGCCACAGACTCTGGGGAGCTCAGGGGCAGCTACAGAAGATTCTCGCTGGACTTTCTCATGTGTGACTCACCAGGCTCCTCCATGAGGGCAAGCTGACTCACCGAGGACAGTCTGCTGTTTGTCTGTCTAAGTAAGTAGTGTACACCTCTGATTCACAGAGAGTCATTTTTACATAAAACCTGAGGCTTAGGTGGAGGTGACTGGCTTTTCAAAAAATGCAGTTTTCAAGACGAACAGAGCTTGGGAGAAAGTTCAGCTCCCTACACCGTGTACAAAGCTGCACACAGAAGCTCTCTGGGCTTCACCGGCCAGCAAGTCTAGCCTAACACTAGGCTGTGGGCTTCTGGAGTTTCTTCCAGCCACCCAGTCCATAGCTGTCCCCTCTGGTGCCTTCCGTCATGCTTGTGACAATAGGTACCATCGCCCACGTGGAATGTAGCCCTTAAGAGTAGAGGCCCGGCTGACTGACTTACAGCTCAGACAGTCCATGTGCGTCTTGGAGGCCCCAGGTTCCATTCTTAGAGCACTTGGGTGGGGCTGTGGCCAGCAGTCTCCAGGGGGTGGGGGGAGGGGAGCTGTGCATTAGCCCCGGCTAGCTGGTCCAGGCTTCTTACTAATGGGTGCAAATGCACTTAGTGCTGAGCCTGCAGCCCTGCCGGGGGGTCTGCAGCTTAATGGCTTTCCTGCCAAACAGGAAGAAGGATGGCAGCGTAGCCAGACACACGGCCCAGATGAGACGGACAGACAAGGGCTTACCTCGTCTGGGACACCTCCCTCCTCAGACAAGCCCCTCCCCGCAGGGCCGGAATGGAGACACTGAGACCCAAGGGCTGGAATGGTGACTGGGCACAGATTGCACCAGCACTTTGCAGCGGTGGCCAGTGAGCAGCAGCATGCCCAGACTGTGCCCAGTGTGTGCAGGGTCTCCTTACCCCACAGCTCACTGCACAGCCTCCCCGTCCGCTCCAGTCTCTACGGCCTTAGTCCTGTGTCTCAGGACTGCTATCAGACCCTAATCCTCCCTCAGGCCATTCTTCTGGTTGGATCTGCCCCTGTTGTGTGACAGAACTTCCTGGGGAGACACAACATCCATCCCTGACAGACCAAAGTACGGATACCAACTTGGTGAACCACCGAGCTTAGCTGGGGTTACTTTTGGGAATACGGGTGAGGGGTCACTTAGAGGCGCAGAAATGACTCACAGACAGCTGCATCACCAGGGCCCACCACAGCATGAGTGACAGCTCACAAAGCTGGGAACCTGGAGCACACTGCCTGCAGACAGCTCACAGGCTGGAGAGTGTCTTTCTCGGTGACTCAGTTGGTGTAAACCTCTTCCAGGCAGCTGGTCTAGTCTGAGTCTTCCTAGCAGCTTGTCTTGTTGGAGAGTGACCCTCAGTAGCTTGGCTTGCTTACCTCTTGGCAAGAAGGGACTTAGAGAATCTAGTCAGTTTCAGGGACTTCCTGAACATTTTGAATGTACCTTCCAGCTTAAGCAGCTTCCCTGCAGGATGGAATGTTTCCGTCTTGGAGGAAAGGGATACATAAGAGCATCCCCTGAAGACTTCTCTGAGCCTCTTGTACAGGATGTCCAGGCGCCTTTGAGACCCTGCCCTTGTCTTCCCCAGGACACAAAGCTGCTCCTGCCTCCAGGAGGAAGAGGAGTTCGGGGATCCCAGCAGCCATTGCTGCTGCCCTGAGTGGGCTCACCCAGCCAGCACTGTGAGGAGGGTAGAGGCGAAGGGATGGAGGAGAAGCCAAGCCAGTACGCCAATGCTGTGAGCCTCTGGATCAAACCATGCCTGCAGCCCTCTCCTAGCACTGATTGTTCTGTGACAGGCACCTGTAGTTCCTTCCTGGGTTAGGTTTTCTGTCTTTTGTAAGCAAGGGTGCAAACAGACACAGATGTCACCAGACGGTGGGGGATTGCTATTTTGTATGACATAATGAGGCACGTCTATTGACCGATGTATCGATCTTGTACAGTTGGTGGGCATGCTACAGAACCTGGAGCCCATGAGCTGCTGTGAGCTTGAAGAGCTGTGGGAGCCAGGTGGCAGTAATGGAGGAGAAGGTTGGAGTTAAAAAAAAAAGTCCTCTTTTTTGCATTTAAAAAATGTTAGCAAGATAGCTCAGTGGGGCGAAAAAACTTTCTGTACGAGCCTGAAGACTTGAGTTCAATCCTTTGAGCCCTATGGTGGAAGGAGAGACTCCAGAGGGTGGCCCTCTGACACCCATATATGCACGGGGCATGTCCACCCACCCACCCCTATTTTAATTAGTATGTAAAGAACTAGGATTTATGACAGGCAGGTTGATGCACACCCTTAATCCCAGCACTTGGGAGACAGACAGGAGGATCTCTGAGTTGAAGGCCAGCCTGGTCTACAGAGCGAGTTCCAGGACAGCCAGAGCCACGTCACAGAGAAATCCTGTCTCAGGAGAAGGAGGAGGAGGAAGAAGAGATGGCATGTGTCATGTAACTTTTCTGGGGAGACATAATCCAGATGTGTCACCCCAGAAAGAGAGTACTGATGACAGCCGAAGAAACCAGCCCACTGAGGTCTCCTCACTGACTAATGGGCTATTGGGGTTACCTACAGGAACACGGGTGTGCTGTTCATCTTTCTGTCAACTTGACAGAAGCTGGGTTCATGCAGGAAGAGGGAGCCTCCACTGAGAAAATGCCTCTAACAAACCGGCCTCTAGGCAAGTCTGTAGGCCATGTTCTTTAACAAAAATTGTTTTATTTTATGTGTATGAGTGATGTGTCCACATACACGTATGTGCAGCTCATGCATGTCTGGTGCTCAAGGAAGCTAGGAGTGGGGGTCGGATCCCCGGAACTGGAATTACTGATGGCCACGAACCACTATGTGCGTGCTGGGAATTGTGGGTGGTGATCACATCCCCCCTTTCCGTATCCCCCCCCACCAGACAGAGGGGCTTGTGTGTATAGGAAAACAAGCTGAGCCAGCCACAGGGAGCCAGCCAGTTAACACCTCCATCTTCTCCTCCGCTTCAGGTCCCCTCTCGAGTCCTGCCTTGGTGTCCCTCAATGACGGACGGTTGTAAGGCGAAGCAACCTCTTTCCTCCCCAGTGGTTTATCACAGCGACAGAAACCGAGCCAGGACACTAGGTGAGGGGCTATTTATAGACCCACAGTGACTCTAGGATGACTGCCACATGAAGGGTCCGACCCAGCCTAGGAGACGACACCCAAGAGCTCTCTCTTTAGCATTCCCTGCACTCTTCCAGGCAGCTCCACTCACAAGGGCCCTCTTACCCAGCAACCCATTTGACTGCTTGAATGACCTTTGGGAAGGGCCTCATGGATCTTGTAATTTTCTGAGTTTCTTTTTATTTATTTGCTTTTATTATTTATTTATTATTCCCTGTTTTTATTAAAAAAATTTATTTATGAAAAGTTTTATTTATGCGCACGTGTACACCACATGACTGTAGTACCCTCAAAGCCCAGAAGAGGGCATCAGATCCCCGGGAGCTGGTGTTAAAAGGGTTGCGATTTGCCCTGTGTAGGTGCTGGAAACTGAACTCAGGTCCGCTGGGAGAGCAGCCGGCCGGCACTCTGAACCACTGAGTAATTTCTTCAGCTGGAACTTCCTGGGCCCCTTAGGCTTTCTTGGCTTCCTGAGACTTACCGATGGTCCCTCCTCCCCCCTCCCTCCAGGAGAAATGTTTCAATTTGAAAGAAATAGCTACACAGCACACCACCCCTTCCTCGCTTACATCCCTCTCATCCCGCTCTTCCCAGGTTGTTCCTGGAGCGTTGAGTGGGATGATAGAGACGTCCGGTTTCCTCCATTTCTGTCTGGGTGCCACATCAACTGTCCCTTATTCTCACCCACTTCACTGGTTCTAATTCCCTGTAGCAACCACTACCTACTGTACCAAAGAAGTTTGCCTCCGTGGCTGACACTAATGGAAACAGCATTCTATGGGCATAAACAGGAATGCTTGGAAGGCAAATGTTTGCGGGTCCACCAAATTCACTTAACAAAGGAGCTGTAGTGGCCACAGGCCTTTGTCCTGGCTTGAAAGAAGCGCTCAACATCAGTTCCGTCCTGTGGATCAGCCGTAGAGCCCAGCCAAAGGTAATTGGTTGCACCTTAACTGGCACCACTATTGTACCAGTGGGCACATCTTGTTGGCATGCTGATAGTATACCGTGCAAGGTTCACAGCAGAGCAGGACCATTGGCAACAATTACCCCACACTAGCCTGCGTACCACCTCCAGCCACACAAAAGCCAGCCAGCGGGGAGGGTGCGTCCAGCTTTGTCCATCTCAATTTCCCCACGTCATGCAACCAAATGTCTTCAGTGATGGGGACTCAGCGCCGAGTCCTGACCGGCAACCGATGGCAGTCACAACTGCCTGTATAGTTTGGGATCCCCTGGGGACTCCCTGACAAAAAACTTGGAGAGGTCACTCGCCTCTGGCTCTGGGGTTTTCACCCAATAAAAATATGCCTCTTAGGAAGTGCCCCGACTCTCTCTGGGCCCTTTGTTCAAAGCTCTTAGCTGCCTCATAAAGATGGCATCCCACCCCAATCCAACCAGTCAGGAGGAGTCCACGCCTTCCTTAACTCTCTGGTAAACATCAAACACTGCCTCTCTCATGCCCGATTTCCTGAATAACCCGTGTCCTTCCTCTGGTGCCTTCCAGTCCTTGGTATCAATGGGGACCTTAGCCAGTGATAATTAGGTGTCCCTAATGGGCCGGATTTCCCTCCTGTGGCCATGGTGGGTTGGGTGGTTTCATCTCTCCGTTTCTCCACTTCCACAGCCCTCTGTCAATCTGTTGGGGTACCAGTTATGTCGCGTCACTTTTCTTGGGGGGAGGGATGTGAACAAATGTCTGACAACCAAAGAAATGACCCTACCCGAGTGTGGCTTGGTGAGTTTATTGGGGCCACTAACAGGAGCCTGAGTGGTACAAAAACAGCTGCATCACCAAAAGTCTCCCCAGCCAGGTGCCTGTGGCCTGGGCATGGCAGGCCTCCATGAAGAGCCACTGTGGACTTGAGTGAGGGGCTCTGAGACCCCGTGGCAAGGCTGAGGCAGTCGCACCACCCCTGTGGCCAGAGCTTCTTTATGGGAGAGAGCTCGCATGTCTTTCTCCCACCCTCTGGGGTCTTTGTCACGGGACCTCAGTGCCTGTTGCTGGAGCTGAGGCTCAAGGCCACCTGTGAGTGGTGTCCACTTTCTGTCCATCTTCTGAGAGTGGTCCCTCACCTGTCATCACAGTATTGCTAGAGCCCCTGGGATCCAAGGACAGGCTGTCTGCCAGGCCCAGGCCCATGCTCTCCCGCCATCTGCGGTCCTCCAGAGCCCTGAGGTGCAGGCCAGGCAGCCAGGCAGTGTTCTTCCTCCGTCATAGAGAGCATTCAGGCACAGAGAGGTGAAGCAACTCGCACACAGTCACACAGCTATGAAGAATTCTCAGACTCTGAACCCAGTTCACCTGTCTCCAGACCTGTTTCTTCCTTCTTTCCTTTCTTTCTTTCTTTCTTTCTTTCTTTCTTTCTTTCTTTCTTTCTTTCTTTCTTTCTTTCTTTCTTTTTTTCCTGAGACAGGGTTTC